GGAAGTAGGATTGCCCAACCTTCCTTCTGAGGTAAGGAAGGGTAGAAATGATTAACAATCAATGTTGTAAATAAAATCTACACAGTACCAGACATGTTCTTTTTATGTAGAAGGGAAATATGAATTACTCTGTGGATTTAATCTACACAAATTTATTGGTCATAGACCAATGGTTATTAATTCTAGCTGCATATTAAAATCACTTGCATATTTAAAAAAAATACTGATGCCCCTAATCCAGAGACTAGTCTAGGGTGGGGTCCAGAAAGGGTATTTCTTAAAGGCTAATCAAATGATTCCAATGTGTGCCAAGAGTTGAGAGCCACTCATCTAGATTAGAGGTCAGCAAACTTCAGCTTACTGGATAAATCACCTGTTTTTGTAAAGAAAGTTTTACTGAAACATACCAACATCCATTCATTTGTGTAGTCTCTGTTTGCTTTCACACAACCATCACAGAGCTGAGTTCTTACAGTAGAGGCGACACACAGCCCACCGAGCTGAAAATAGTTACTATCTGGACAGAGGCAGTTTGCCAATCCTTGGTCTAGATTAATTCTGAGTCAGATTTTGAGAAAAAAATCAATGAGACCTAATAAATCTGTTTTAACCCATAATGTAAGTTCATAGGGATTTTAGAATTCCTGCAGAAATCATTATTGCTTGAAATGTTTCTTTATAAAAGATAATGTCTAGTGCCATATTGTTTTTTAGACATTCCACATATTATTGAGGTGGTATGAAACCTATTTTTTGTTATGTAAAAAAGTTATTTAATGTTACATTAAAATTTTAGATTGGGCCATTCAATGCTTCCCTATCTTTTTTCCCTTTCTTCTGTTAAATTCTTTGTACCAAGGCCACATAAGGAAAAATGTCAACTTTGCAAAATGCTTGGTTAACAGGAAAACAACAGATTTCTCGTATTAAAAAAAATTGGTCAAATTGTACCAAGGTGGAATTTCACTTCCACTGATTGATTTCTAGCAAAACAAATCAACCAACAAACAAAAAACTGAAAGGAAAATAGCAAAACATTAACAGTATACTGAAAGATGGGGAAGGGGTAGGATTATAGGTAATTTGTTTATGTTCTTCCATATTTTCCAAGTGTTTACAATGGTATATATCATTTCCATAACTTAAAAGTCATAAAATATTTATCTGAACTTACTGGGCTAGAGAAAAAACTCTAAATTTTTTTGTTTTGGTAGACCTAAGGATCTCTCAAAGGAGCTCTGGTGGCATAATGGTTAAAGCATTTGGTTGCTAACCAAAAGTTCAGTGATTTGAGTCTACCAGCCACTCTGTGGGAGAAAGATGAGATAGCGTCCATAAAGATTTACAGCCTTGGAAACCCTGTGGGGCAGTTCTACTCTGTCCTACAAGGTTGCTGTGAGTCAGAATCAACTTGAGGGCAGTAGGTTTGGGTTTTATTAAGTATCTCTCAATAATGGCTTGAAGGAATAACAAATACTTGCTATTTCAGGACAACACAGTGAAACTACCCTATTGCCAGAGACTGAAGGTGTGTAATATGTTAGAGCCCTTTAAAAATAACCAAATCTCAATACCCTGAATATAGATGAGGACTAGAGCACAAATTGCATAAATCTGAGGGGAGCTTTACGAGAAAATGGATGATGTCAACAGACTCTTTCCCATTAATGGAAAAGAATTCACATATATCTTACAACGGACAGCACGGTACCTCAACATTAACAGTCTCATGTAGTCTAGAATATTGTTTTCCAGGTCATTTAAGATGCAGCACCCTGTGTATCTAAGCAGTTCTATAAAGGATGCTTTTTTTTTTTTTTTTACCGCGGGGAACTGCTTTAAATGTTGGCTAAAAGGCATCTTCTGACTCTCATCTTATTGTGCTCCCTTCCTTCCCTTCAAAAACCAACAGGCACTGTACCAGTGGCCATAGATATAAAAATCAGTGAATAAACTATCTTTACTTGTGTCTGGTTGAGGAGGTCTGCTGATACAAATAACACAAATCACTCTCAAAAATGAAATAAAATGACAGATAACTACCCCTAAACATTATTCTCAATGAGAATAAATATGCCAGAGACAGCAAAATACATTTAGTTATAAAGAGGATTAGAAATTTAAGAAAAGATCCTAGAATAGGATTTTTCCACTGTATTTGAATAGACTGTGCCCTTTCCTCCTGAATCAGCAAATTGCTAGCTTCTACTGCAAAAAAAAAAAAAAAAAATCACTACAATATGGAAAAGTTTTTGGAATGTAATTTCAAGGAGGTTAAGAGAGAAGAAAAATGGCAAAATCCAGTTCTCTTACATCCTGTGGACTGCATTTCCTTCATCCCCGTTCTCCTTTCCTAACCCCACCCACCCCCATCTCTACCCCACCCTACCCTATCCCTACCTCAGCCTACCCCATCCCAACCTCACCCAATCCCCAACCAAAGCTCCAGATGTCTATGCATTTTTATTCTGAGTACCTGCTCCAGTTCATAGGCTTTTGCCTTATCCTCATCCCGGTCTGCGTTCTTCCGATAGGCCAGACCCAAACCCCACACAGCCAGTATGCTGTACACATTATCCCGGACCCAGGCATCTTTCTGATCATAGCTGGCTGGGAGCAAGCCGGTCACCGGATTCTGCAAGGCCAAGAAAAAGAGGGTAGGTAGGTGGCCATGGGATGTAAATATTAGGAACCAGATCATATGGAATGGGTTACTTAGGGACTTTGGTCTTTCTTCTACTTCCCCACTCTTGAGTTTTATTGCCTCCTTTTCTGACCAAATGCGAGCAAATGCTATTTGAATAAGGTGAAGAGTTAGGTGAAGCTTTACAAGTCTAAAGTGTAGACAATATTAAAAGAAAGGCTAATGAACCAAACACCAAAAGTAAAGGAGTAGAGAAAATATATTTAACAGTATATACAACATGCCTCATACTTTCACAATATAACGGCTAAATGTTCCTCTACCTCTTTTCTTTGGGGTCAGGGGAAGGAGATGACACCCAAAATGGAGGAGCTGTCAAATAAGCAAAAATACATCTTTCAACTCTGCCCCAGGAACCTATCTGTGGCTTGGGAGTGGGGGCTCTAAAGCCTCGAATCAGGGGCTTGTGGTTATCCGTGTCTGGCTCTGTTCCTGACCCAACATCCATCTTTTCTTCGTGGCCTTTTATGGCATCCCCACGTAAGAGGTAGGGGAATTTGCTATGGACACATGCTCAAGGGTTCACCTGGGTTCCACATCCAGGCCATCACATTCCACACCCTTGGTAATTACAGGCGACACTCCTACATTTACCTGGTGGCACAGGATGGTCTGATTCACCAGCCTAGCATAGCCGTCCAGCCGGACCCCCGAGTTACTCCTGCTCCTCATTGTGCCGTGTTTCCAATCCCCTCAGGGAAATGGCCCAAGTGTTGCAAGGGCCTAAGTCCCTAAAAAACAAGGCTCCAATACAGCTCCACACTCGCTGTGGGAAATTAGACGGCCCTGTGCAGTCCTAGCTTCGGCGGCCTCCTGAGCCCACCCACGGTCTAGGCCCCGCGGCAGCGCCCAGGTCGCTTCTCAGAATCTGCCACCCTTATGCCGGTCCGGCCTCCGCCTGTGGTTCTTGCATCCCCAGCTCTACTTCTTGAGACCGCCCCGGCTAAAAGCCGGGCACTTGCCGACCCTTAATAGCGCACCACTCACAGCGGTGCCTCCACTTGGTCAGATAAGCAAGCAGCGCCGGCGCCTTGGGTCCTGGCGGCTGCGCGCTGGGCCCCACAGGCAAGCTCCGCCAGGCCCCGCCCCCAGAACCTCCTCCCTCCGCATAGCTGAAATGTGTCACCGTAGGCAATGTGCTTTCAGAAGTTTATTTTTGACGCACTTTAAGTAACTATTTTCAGTTTTCCACACTGTGAACACTGGAGGCTTTTGGCTGCTAACCACAAGGTCGGAGGTTGGAACCCACCTGCCATTACGCAGGAGAAAGATGAGGCAGTCTGCTTCCTTTAAAATTCATTGCTTTGGGAACTCTATGGGGCAGTCCTACTCTATTCTATAAGGTCGCTAAGAGTCAGAATTGAGTCGATGGCAGTGGGTTATGTACACTGGATGTGGAAGAGACTGCATTTTTCGTTTCTTCTGCGTCACACGTTTACATTCAAGGTCTAATGGATTGGATCTCCAGCGTCTTTATTGTATTTTGTACTTTTGACTAAACACTCAGATTAAACTCACACTGACCCAATCCAAACAACAAAGAACTCTCAAGGCTACTTTGTTCCTT